GGGGGGGTGGGGGGCGGACAGGGGAGCCCCGGGAGCGCGAGCTGCGGCCGGCGCCGCTGCAGAGCCGAGCGAATCCCGAGCCCAGGCAGCAGGTATGTGTCCTCGAAGCCGGCCGTGGCCAGGGCTTCCCTGCCTCGATGCCCGGGTCCTGTGGCCAGGGCGGGGGTGGGGACCGGTCAAGGTTTGCAGGGTGCGTGTCCGAGAGGGCTGGGATCTTACCACTGACCTTCATCCCCGCTCGCCGGGGGAGCAAGATGGGTGAGTGGGGCAATCCAGGGCTTCAGCTTCAGCTCCAGCCTGGGGATCTGCTTCTTGTCACATGCTTCTTATTTATTTTTGCAAACTGCTCTGGTTCGGGTCCAGCTGCAGATGCTTTACCTCCCATTCTTTGCCTCCGTGTGCCATCTTGCATTTATTAATAAAACATGAAAGCTGGGGTGTGGGGGGAGGTGGATTGCTGCTGGGGGGAATCCCATTGCAGTATGGGTTGAGTGGCGCCTATTTTCGGTTTTCAGGCGTGGTATTGAGGTGGAAATCCCACACCCTGGGCATTTGTGGCTTGTTTGGTCGTGACCACTTCCTAGTGGGCTTCCCCCATTTGTCTGCAGGCGCTACAGCGGCAGGATGGGCTGTCAGGAAAGGATGGTGGGCTTTCACCGTCAGGCCAGAATCCCCTTCAAGGGACAGGTGCACACAGTTACCTGTTTGCTAACTTGCCAAGGAGACTTAAACCCAGAAAATTGTTTCCCGTGATTGCCGAGAGGAGGCCTTGAACAGAATCCTCGAGACTTGCATACTCAAACTCATTAAGGTTTTGCATCTGAAGATGACTAAAGCTTGCCACCTGTTGGAAGTCAAACCCCATGAAATCTTCCATAATCTAGCCCACCAATCCCTGTTTCAGTCACTAATACTTAGCGATAGGCCCATACTGGTTCTTCCTATCTTCTTTAACATTGCTTGTCATTTGTTCTTTTAAAATTCAATCTATGATTTGATGCTCCATATGTTATAAATTACATGATTTGTATATATTCCATACATTTATAACATCATATCCTAAAGACTGAATTTCTTTTCAGTGTCTAGGTTACCGATTTCCTAGCTTTTCACCTTGCTTCAAGCTGCAGTCCAAAAAGTGGGGTATATATAACTGATTACTTTTCTCTGCCCCTCCCCCCCATACTGTGGTAAAAAGAATAGTACAAGCTAGAAGCATAAAATGAAAATGGGTATCCCAAGACATTAGGATATGGCAGCAGAACTAATTGCTTGTAAACCATAGTCTGTGTGCCACATCTAATCATGAGGACACGTTCTTAAATGCTTATATGTGCCAGGTATGGAGCTAAAGGGTGTTTGTGCATGATCTCATTTAATCTTCACAACAAACCTATTATCTCCATGTTGAAGATGAAGAAGGTAAGACTAAGAAGGGTTAGCTAACTTGCCCAAGGTCACACAGTTGAGAATGGAGAATCGGAATAAAGATGCAAACTCAAGTGCATCTGATTGCTGGGGGTGGAGTGGCATTGGGAGGAACCTTTAATGCTGGTGCTGCCACTGCATCTGTATTTTAGTTAAGATCAAGCTTATGCATGAGCATACATGCTTGGATCTGATTTTCCATTTCATAGATTCCACATCAGTCTTTGTGGATTTCCAGTAAGAGAAACGGTTGTTTCAGAATGGGTCTGTGTGGAATTTTTTGAGGTGGCACTGAGCCTATAAAAAATGGTGTCCTAGACATGCTTCCATTTAACTCTCTCAAGCAGTTAAGTTCAAAAGAGTTGTTTCCCTTCAGATTTAAATCTATAAAATGTATGTGCATCAGATAGAATGAATCACTCGTGTTTTTCATTATCGCATCCCACTCCAATCTTCTTGCCACCCTGCACGCCGGCTTTTGGTCTCAGTGCCAGTCATAAGAACAACATTGTCTATCACACTTGTATGTAAGTGCCTTAATGGGGTGAAGGAATTCAGACCAGTCGACCGTAATCCAGTCTCTCTATGGTAGGAATTATTCACTTGAAAATCTTAGAATCTGTGCATCCAGCTATGGATGTATACTTAATCTTTTTTTGCAAGTGCATTATTATAATGCAAATATTGGGTTTTGCTACACATTCCAGTAGTTCTCATAGACTTAGAAGTTGCTGTAGTTGCATCAATGGAAAATCCCCTCAGTGAGGCTACAAACTTTTATATTCAGGTCACATATTTAAGATAGTAGTGAGAAAGGTATAAGTAAATATAAGGGATTATTTGAAAATTATATCCCATGGAAATTAGAGCTTTTAATAATAAATTGATGGCTAATATTAGGAAATATAAGATACTCATAAATTCTGTAAGCTCTATTTTCTTCCTTGGGTAAGACAACTGGTTTTAGAACACCATGATCTTACTTTTTCATTATGCTTTGTTGTGTTGACAGTAAAGCAATTTGCATAGCCACTTTGCCTCATGGAAAACACTGGGTTTTAGAAGAGCATATTCCCCAGTGCTTATGGAAATGCTGAAATGGAGTCTTTCCGCTCTGAGGATTTCCAGTCTGATCACATAAACTCGAGATGAGTCCTTATGTTACTGGGGAAGCAGCAGAAAGCAAAGAGAGGTGTTGCTTGATTTCTGGAGAGGAAATGGGTTTTCCTATGTAGAGCATCACTATTTTCTTCAGTCAGAAATCTCATAATTAAAAAGCATCCAAGAAGTAAGAAGTCTATTCCATTCAAGCAGGATTTTATTTTTTTTATTTTTTTAAAGATTTTATTTATTTGAGAGAGAGAATGAGATAGAGAGAGC